TGTGAGCCGTTTTTCTTGTGCCACTCTGATAGACAGTCACAGCCTACTCAAGTAAAAGGGTTCTCTTAAGGAATTTACTTCCAAAGTACATCTGCACACAGAGGATGTTTAATCCTAGCCCATTTATTTCTGTGAAGCTTTTCTCCTGAAAAGATAGTTGTCTATAAAGTAGAACTACGTTGCAATCACTTCAACGATCATGTTAAATCTTGCTGTACACTCTGGGTAGCTTTTGTTTGTAAGACAGAATACATATTTGTTCAATTTTGTATTGTTTTCAAATGGAAAAACTTAAGCTCCCTATTATATGTAATGGGAAAATACCATGATACCGCAAGACAGAAAGTCTACTGCATTTTCAACTGCTTTTCAGTATCACGATTAGCATTTTCTTGATAATATAAACCCACAGTGTAGACACAAATTGCACAACAAACTGATATAAATATAACTGTCCTCTACAACTCCTAATTATAAAGGCACGTCTTCATTAAGAACGTTATTCTCATTTATAAAAAGGCAATCCTATACAGATGAATGAATTTCATACATATAAATTAGTTCGATAACTCTGTACTTCAATGCACAGTTATATACTTTGAGATTCTTGGTTAATCTCTATTTGATAGAATGGCTCTATAGAGCATTCTCAGTTGTGATTCGAATAGATTTCTTTTTTCCTCTACCTCCAGACTTTTTTGACTAGTTTTTTACAAAACCTTTCTAGGCACACCGAGAAATTAAGCAGAGAGCACAGAGTTCTCATGCATCTCTTTTCTTCTCTCCTTCACAGCCTTCCCATCCATCCACAGCCCCCACCAGAGTGGTACAGTTGTGATAATCAATGACATTGCTTGATACATCACCTGAGCCTTGCCCTTGGTTTACACTAGGACTCAAACCTGGGCTGGTCGCTATCTGGATTTGTATAAATACACAATGCATCATACAGAGTATATTTACTGTCTTTAAAATCTTCTGTGTTCTACCTGTTCACCCTCAACACCTGGAAATCACTGACTTCTTTATTGTATTCATAGTGTTGCTTTTTTCAGAATATCATGTAGTTGGAATCAAAGAGTATGTAGTCTTTTCAGTTTGATTTCTTTTACTTTTCAATAAATACTGAAGTTAATAGCTCATTTTTAGTGCTAAATAACATTCCAATCTCTAGACTACCGCAGTTCATTTCTCCATTCACCTTCTGCTGTGGTGTATATGAGATGCTCCCCAAGAGCCTCATGTGCTCAGAGCTGGGGCTTTTGAAAGATGCCTGAACTGTGCTATAGCTCAATGTGACATCTGGACAGAAGTGGGTCACTATGGGTATGGCCTGGTGGCTGCACTTCCCCCCCCAGCCCCTCCCCTCACTGTCTGCTTCCTGACCGCCACGATGCAGTGACCACTGTCCCTGAGCAGACTTCCCCGAGCCACTTCTGCCTGGAGCTGCTGACTAAGGATGGAAGCCTCAGAAATACGTGAGCCAACACAAGCCTCTCTTCCCTAAAGTGCAAACGCCAATGGTTAGGTCCCGGCCGTGGTGAAAATGACTAAGACGCCTACTGAAAGACATCCTGGTTGCTTCCAAATGTTGGCAATTATGAATGAAGCTGCTGTAGTAGGTGTTCGTGTGGATATAAGTTCTCATTTCATCTGGAAAGATTCCAAAGAGTGAGTGAAAACTCTTACTCATAAGGTAAAAGTATATTTAACTCTGCAAGAAGTTACTCACAGGTCTTTTATGGCAGCTGTACTATCCTGCATCATAGAAGCAGCGGATGAGTGTCTCTGTTGCTCTCCACCCTCATCCCATGTCAGTGTTTGCAATTTTGGCCATTCCAGTGGGCATGTAGTGGTCAACATCCAGCTCTGCTTTTATGAAACTTATTTTCTGTTGTTGCCAAATATAACTTTAGCCATTGCATTTTCAGACAACAGAGCTTTGATTTGCCTACAGTTAAAAGTGCCCCTTCCTGACCCTCTAAATAGGACTCTTTGTTACCTGGGTTTTCCATTCACTCTGCCCATCCCCACCACTGCACGATACTGGAGATATAGACATAAATGAAATTTGTCTTACAAACCACCTCCTACTGTAACAGATTTCTTCTCAGTACTTTATGCTAATCCTCAACTAAGCCCCAAAAGATATTACTGATCGTTAAGATTTTAGGTAGTATTTACCTCAGTGGTGTGTGTTACGTGAGTTCTCTTTGAGAATTTAAATTATTTTATTTCTGTAAAAATACTTAAAACAATTCATACAAACCCTTTTCTTTCTAGCAGAATTGCAAGCTCCACATGCAGATAATCAGCTTCAAGAACAGAAAGCTTAAAAGGCTCTGAAAAAATTTAAGTACATTTTTAAAACAGGAGGGAGTGAGGGAAAGCATCGGGGAAGAGATGAGAATTCAAGAAGAACGTCCGCATCGGAGCTGGGGGCTGTGCCGGTCTCTGCTGCCTGGAGTTGGGCGCTCAAGCTTTCCCACAAGCAAGGAGCAGGAGGAGGGCCAGGACTGGACCCTAGGGTGGCCATTCTGATTAGAAACTTAGTAAAGGCTGGACTGTGAAGTGAGGAAATCTCAGCTGGAGGCTCAGGAAAAAACTGTGCCAAAAGGAGATGCCCCACTGAGCTTTGGCTATGGAAACAGTGTAAAAGCAAAAGACTACTTTTCACCCTGACTTTATAAGCACAATCCTCTATCACAAAGGCATGTATGCAGCTAAAATTTACACCATCTGTAAGGCCCAGGTATTCAGGTTTAAACTTTAATTTAAAGTGACAGAAAAATGAACTACTGATTCACGTACCAGCATGAGTAAGTTTCAAGACATTCTGCTCAGTGAAAGAAGTCAGGCACTGATGCAGAACACTGAAAGACCCCATTAATCTGTGGTGACAGGAAGAGATCAGTGATTGCCATGGCAGAGGGTATGATAATTTCTTGAAAAGATGTAAAAGAGGGAGTAGGGTGTGGCTAAGGGGTAAAACAGGTGCTGAGCATGTGCTGGCTTCAATCCCTAGTATTCTGTCCTCAAAAAAGCTGCAAAAGAGAAATATCTGAAGGTGCTGAGAATTGTCTAATCTTGCATGTTGTGGTGTTTCCACAGCCATGTACAATTTTCACTGAGCTTTAATAGAAGCACATGTATTTTATTGCATAAAATCTACACTTCTATAAAAGGGATTTACAAAAGAAATCACCAGCTAAATTTCACATTGACCATCAGTGTGTTAGTAGCACAAGTTTAAAACTTCAGGCACTGTATGCTTGGCAGTGGATTTGATAATTGACAGTGTTATTTATTTAATAAATTAGAATTAAAAAAATAAAAGAGGCAATAGTAGTCATCAGGCAGAGGCACAGCAAGCTGTCTTCAGAATAAGCCCACTTAAATACAAGACTCAGCCACAGAAAATGACTCAGGAAACATGAAGTCAAATTAGTAAATAATAGAGCAACAAACTTTGCAAATCCTTCCCACAAAGATGTCAGTATTTATGAAAATTTAAATAGAAGATGTCATTGAAAATTTGGTAAAGAAATCAGAGGCTGTCAAGATTGTACTGAAGTTTAGAAAAAGCAACAAAACAGAATGTGTAATAATGAAATTACAGCCACTAAAATTACATGCTCAGTAGCATATCAATGCACTGGAAAGATCAACAGAGCCAGCTTGGGTCCACCGATGAACTATGGGTGCACAAATCCATCAGGAACATCATGCACACATACACCAAACTGACTCACAAAGCACTCGGTAAGACGAACGGCTGTGCAACTGTTAAATCGAGAGAACCCGGCTCAACTGGCTTCCCATGGAAGTGTGGCAGACATCACCCACATCTGTGTCCCTTTGCTAAGCAGCCACCATTAATGTCATCAACAAATGCAACAGGTTTAGATTCACCTAATTAAACTATTCTTCACACAAGAGTACTTTTACCCAGTCTAGATCAGCAAGTGAAATTCTTCTTGCTATTGTGTCCTTTCTTAAGCTAAAGTGAATTATAACGCATGATCATCCCTTGTTTCATAAAAATGCCTGACTGAAATTTCATTAGGTATATTGGTAATGTTTAACATGCAGTTTGAAAGAAAGCCAGTAAAGGTAATTGAATTCTTCTGCTTCATTCAGAAGTACCTGTGATTAATACATTTAAATGAACCATCTTAAAGTCAACAGATACATTTCCATATTGACCTTTACTTAAAAGCTTTCTAAGCAAATAAATTTGATATTATATATATACATATATATGTATATATATATACACTCTTGCATTTAATATTAGACATTGTCTTTAAGGATTTATAAGATTGCTAGCTATTACATAAATCAAAAGCAAAATGTTGGAAGATAAAATACTGTGAAAATTTTATCTTGCAATAATTCAGTGAGACAAATATAACTTATTTAAAGGGAAATATTTTCTCTTCCTATATAGAAGTATATATACATATATATATATATATATACACTCTTGCATTTAATATTAGACATTGTCTTTAAGGATTTATAAGATTGCTAGCTATTACATAAATCAAAAGCAAAATGTTGGAAGATAAAATACTGTGAAAATTTTATCTTGCAATAATTCAGTGAGACAAATATAACTTATTTAAAGGGAAATATTTTCTCTTCCTATATAGAAGACAAATCACTTGTCTTTAAAATAATAAACCTAAAAATATTGGGAAATAATTTTTTATACTTCTAAATAATTTGCACAGCTCATTAGCATAAGAGTCTTTTGTAAGTTAACTGATCATGAATTTCTGCCATTATTGCCATGCACGGCTGCTCACCACTCTACTGAAGTTGTCTATTTTGTAACATAAGGCTATGCAACAAACAAGCATAAAAATACCCAGGTTGCCAATTCTATACCCGCTATCAGTCTTCTTCGGGTGTACAGTGAGACTGTCACTAATCCCGTGACGTTCCCGGCAGCTGCTCCCCACCCAGCATCTGACCCTGAGAGTAGAGGTACTCACAGCTGGAGAAGATCAGCGGGCAGGAGTGCTCATCCATGGGGAAGTTGTGCAGCTGCAGCTGGCATTCCGCGTTGATGGTGAGCCTGTGGAAGAGCCACAGTCACTCTCGGGGACAACAGCAACACAGCCTAGGCCACCGGGCAAGGGCTTCAGGCTGGGCAAGGTACCACAAAGTAGGGAACCGGAGGGCAGTCACCGAAGCAGGGTCCATTCTGGCCACTGTGTTAGTTAGATTGGTGAGGCCAGTTGGTTGCTTTTGCATTGTTTATTTTGTTTTGCTTTTAACTATCAGTAGTAGAGAGAATACCAATTAGTAAGATTCCAACTGTGTCTAAAAATGCAAGCCAAGTCAGAGAGGAGGAGATAAACCAACTGTTGTTTTGTAAGTCATTGTTTCCAATCTGTTTAAATGAAACACTTCCTCCTTTTGAAAGTGGCGTATTTGTCTAAGTGGTTATTTTCTCTGAATCAGTCTTCAGTATGGGGTGGGCGACTTCCTGCTTAGACAATGCCCTGCCCTTCCAGTGGCAGGTGGTGGCTTCACTGAATGAGTACTCCGCATCCTTCCAAAGCCTCTGTAACCGGATTCCTACCAAGTATCCCAGCATCGGCCAGGTCTCCGTCCTGGTTTTCTGAGGGTCAGCTTCATTTCAGTCTCACTCTAATTGATCTAGGACTGATGACACACCTGTTACAGATGCCACCTCTTCCAGTGTATTTCATCATTCAACCTCTCTGCTGTGGCTTTTTAAAAAAGTATTATTATTGTTGTTGTTCCCTGTGGGCAAAATTATTCTTTCCCTGAAACTTTAAATATTCTCTTATCTGTGGCTGATTTTGTTTGATGATGTCTGTGCTTACATTTATGCTCTGGACACTTTTTCAGGATTTCTCTTTAGGTCCACAAGCACCCATAATTAAAATCTCATGGCCCAGGCTGTGGTGTGAGGAAGCAGAGAACTATAGGTTCTGAGAAAGAGTGCTGGAGGGAGCAGTGGGGCTCCAGGGCCCTGGGATGGCACTGACCACAGCCTAAAGAAGAGGGAAGTATAAGATTCCCTGGCCAAACTGAACTCAAAATGCCCTTAACCCTGCCAGAGACAGGACTGAGGCTCTTAGGAACTGTGTTTAGAAGGCATGTTCTGGCTCAGGGGAATCTGCTTTAAAGTCTCAGGATGGATGGGCCTAGCCATTCAGGAGATGTGGGGTGTGACAGAGGCCAGGTGCTGCGGCAGAAATGGCAGGATGAGGAAAAGCAGCCTCACAGGCAGGGGCAGGAGGCATAGGAAAGAGCACGTGCCTCTGGAGGCAGGGACACAGACTGTTAGAACAGAGATGTGTGCAGTGTTTCTGAGAGATCCAGTGCCCTCCGGAGCTCCATGCCAAAGGGTTCCATCCTGGTCCTGGCACTGAACAAGCAGAAGGGCTGCCAGGGGCAGGTGTCATTGGTGTGGTACTGTGCACTGCGTGCTGTGTGCTCAGTTAGGCTGTGACGACACAGAGGTGGCAGCCCATGGAGAGAGCTAGCTCTGCTCACACCAGTTTACTGCAGGGATTCTGGAAAATCAAGGACTGCTCTGAAGCACAGTTTGTCATCTCCTTGGGTTTCGGGGAGGTTCACCCTACCTCCAGGAGGACTCAGCAGAGTGGTGCTGCTTCAACTGGGATGTGTGGGGAATGCCCGCCGCACCCTTCATCCCTGTGCTCTCAAATTTGATTTTTGTTCCTTGGCGGTGCTGGGATGAAACTCAGGGCCTTGCACATGCTAGGCAAGTCTCACATTTAGCTACTGCTACATGTGTTAAGTCAGAGTCAAAGCCATCTCTATTTTCCTAGCCAAGTGGACACATGAGGTTAAATACATAAATATATAAAGATAATTTCGAAGCCACCTTCCTACAGAAATAAATTCTGATGAAGGAATGGTTTTGTACTCATTGCAGGCCATGTGTGTACTTTCACTTTCACACACATGGCATTAGGACAAAGTTTCTCAGGATGCTATATAGTGTGTCAAACAAGAAAAAGAATGTAACTGAGAGGTACAGTAAGGTCTCACGTCAACAATAATTTAAATGAAAAACCCAAAATTAGATCATAATAACTAAAGAGCCACATAGACAGCAGGAATTAGTCTTAGTGTTTTATAGCATAGTATCTGTAATTTATAATGTATTTCAAAACTACTGGAAGAGTCCAAAAATTCCAAACATACAGAAATGGTAACTACTGGAGGAAACAGAAATGCTAAGTGTCTTGATTTGATCGATATGCACAGTATACATGCAGTGAATTGTCAAACTGTACCCAGTAAGTGCAAATGTCATATGTTGATTAAACATTTTAAAGGAGAGCCACACAGCATCTTACCTTAAAGTATAAAGAATTTTGCCATCATTCCAGATTCTGAGGAGCTGGTTGGGCGTGGTGATCCAGTGAGCCTCTGCTGTTTTAGAGTTGCGGAAGATTGTGTCTGGGATCCATATCAGTCCCACCATGTTGCTGTTCAGAGTAAGTATTTTCATGGTGCTGTTGAACCGAAGGCGACTGTCTGTCCAGGTCTGAGCAAAAAATATATCGATTTGGTATTCCTGAAACACAGCGAAGAAGAGACAGGCAATTCTATTAGTGAATTTCCCACACACTTCGTTTTCTTTGTCATAATTTCAGGCCTCCACCATGTTTACATTCTCGCCTGTCACTCTTCCCTTTGTTAGTGATTAATAAACACACTGCCTGGTCTGGCTCAGTAGGATTCAACAAATGAAAGTCACTAAGTCAATAGCGTGAGATCATGTGATATAAAATAGTGCTTGACAACTCTAACATGGCGACAGATACAGCAGGTGTGAGGAGGGGCTGAATGAGGTGGTAAATGTATTTCAGCACATGTGTGCACATAGCTCACAATCCTAACACTGATGGGCGGTGCGACCTGAGAGCTGGTGTTCTATAAAATGGGGGAGCTCGTATCCACCTCCTAAATGTGCTATAAAGAGAATGGAGAGTGGTCAAAGGCAAAACTCTCATGTCGAGCATAAACATAGTGCTCCACAAATATCAGCTTATATAATAATATTTATTGTTATTCAAAAGTCTTTTCAAACAGTGCAGCCAAAAGCCAGAAAGGTAAGAAAATCAAGCAAGAGCAGAGGGTGATGGTATAGAGAGAATAGCACTCAAGCCAGATGCAGATTCCACAGAGGGGTGCAGGCATTCCAGGAACAGAGGCAAAGCATAGCAAGGAGGGTCACGGGGTTCCCAGTGCCCAGGATGACCCTCAGATAACTAAGACAGGTCTGACCATGTGACAGGGCCGGGAGAAGGCCTGCAGAAGGGCCTGCCTAGGATACCACTTCCTGATAGGTTTAAAGAGTTATGGGGGGCAAGAAGAGTGGAGAGACTGATTGCTAGACTTTAATATTTCTTTTCTTGCATAACCTTTACTTTTTAATTTAGTTTTTAATTAACTTCATTGGTACATTTTAGGTACACATTATGATGATGGTCATCACCGGGAATTTGTACCTGTACCTGATGTATCTTCATTCTTGTTTTTCCCGTTCCCTCGTCCTCCCTTCCACCCTCCACTCCATCAAAGGGAGTCTGCACCTGTACATGATATATCTTGGTTGCTCTCTCTCCCAATCTCTTTCCCTCCCTTCAACCTCCCTGCCTCCCTTATTTACAAAAGCTTTGTTTAAACAAGAAAAGAAGGAAAAAGAATGGCAATAAGACATTATTTCTAACATTTTCATAGTTCCCATTATGTATAAGATATTAGTTTTATTACTTTTATAGAGTATGAACTCAGTAACTCTCAAGAAATCCCACAGCAATACTGGCTCCTGAGTTTCCAGTTGGAGAGTCTTTCTAAGTACTCCATAGATTTAGGGTGCAACTCGCACTCTATTGTGGGTTGGTCCACTCATCACTGATTGTTGCACTGTCTCTGCCAGGCCCTGTCAACTGTCAGAAGCTCCACAGCATGCCAAAAAGAAAACTTCTCGCCTCACAGAGCTTGCACTCTAGTCAGGGAAAAGGCTTTACAGAAACAGCAGGTCAGAAATAGTATGTCCAACAGTCATATACAGGATGCAAAATTAAGGCTGTTGTATCACTTAGGGTTCTATTAAAGAGAACAAAAGGTATCTGCAATGGTGTGAATGTGCCAACAAAGCTTCATGAGTTCATATGCTGCGGGCATCTGGAGTTGGGGCTTTTGGGTGGTCGCTACGGTTAGTTAGATGCGGCCATGAGGGTGGAACCTCATGATGATAATGAGTAATTTTACAAGCAGAGGAAAAAGAGCCATGTCTGCTTTTCCTGCCGCGTGATGCCCTCCACCACATGGGGATGCAGTAGGACAGCCCTCACCCAGATGCTGAGAGGATGCCAGTGCCATGCTGCTGGCCTGCCTGGGCTCCAGAACCACGAGCCAAACTTTTGGGGTTTGTGTCTAGATGTCCCCTCAGAGCCTCATGCAGGCTTTTTTGAAGGTAGATGAATCTGGAATGTGTGATGCCGGGGTCAAGGGCACGTGATTGCTAAACCAGTACATGTGAGTGAGTGGTTTGGCACTGCCCCAATCCCGGTAGTCCAAATAAAAGGAGCATAAAGACACTGTTAAGGTCCCTTGTTGCCTTTGCTACTTGGTGTGCACCTTGTCATTTCTCCTCTGCAGTGTCTGTTTGCCTTCCCTGTCTTGGAGCCAGCCGATTATGGACTGAAACCTCTACAAACTGTAAGACAAATAACCCCTTCCCCTCTAACTTTGGGAGTTGAGTATTTTGTCTCAGCAACAAGAGAACAGTAAGTAATACACAAATAAACCTCTATTCTCAAATATTATGTTATTGCAACAGAAAATGAACTAAGACAGCACGCAGATATTCAGTGGAAGAGGAATTATGGTGCAGAGAAGCTGACTCTTGCACCAGCATTTAGGAAGACACCAGTGAATGATGCAGGGAGCAGGGAGCAGGCTACCAAAGGAACTTCCCTGTAAGCCTCAAATCCGTGTGGCTCTTCACCATAGCAGGAGCTACATGGCACCCAGCTGTTGTGGTTTGTATCCGTATGACTCCCTAAAACCTCCAGTGCTCACAGTAGGGCTTTGGGAGGGGACTGGGTCATGAAGCCATGGTGCCTAGCAGTGGATTCTTCCACTGATGGGTTTACAGCTAACTGTGACGTTAGGAGATAAAACCTGGTTGGAGGAGGTGGCCATTGTGGGTGTGGCCTGGAAGGGTCTAGGTCCTTCCTTCTTCCTCTTATCCTTGTCTGATTCCTGCTGCCACGCCATGAGCTGTGTCCCCTCTGCCATGCTGCCCAGTCTCGGAGGCAATGGACAGTGGAATGAAACTGCTATAAACTGTGAGCCAAAATAAAATCTTCCTCCTCAGAGTTGTGGATGTTGGGTACTGTGTCTCAGTGATGAGACAGTAACTAAGACATCAGCCACAGAAGGTCCCTCAGAATCTGACTAAACATACTCCTGCAATTAATGGTTTCTGCTTCTCAAGTGCTTTCCAAAATATGTATATGCCTCTCCTTGAATGACCCTAAGCCCAGAACCACACTCAGAAGGGTCTGAGAGGAAGTCCACACAGGTACTGTATGTGTGTGTGTGTGTGTGTGTGTGTGCGCGCGCGCACGTGTAAGCACAGACTTTTTTCCCTGTTAGAGAATGGGCCTACAGGCTGGGAGACTATTGTCTTGCATGGGTGACATGCTTGGCAAAACTGACACCCGTAACAAGGCAGAGCACATGTCAAATGAGCATGTAGCCCTTTCAGCAGAGACTGGAAAGGAATGTTAACTACCATGTGTTGAATGCTAATGACTGTGCTTGATAAGTTATCAAGGAAAGAAATTTCTCAGAACAGAATTTGGCAGTTTGAAAGCAATTATGAAGAAAAGAAAAAGATAACACTGACTCAGAGCCTGGGTGGGTTGGAAAAGGCAAAGCTTCTTTGTCACATCAGGAAAGGCTTACCCACAACTGCTGGCAGGGCCCAAAGCTTGCTGTGTCCGCTTTGCCGAAATAATCAGAGCTATCACCGAAACCTGTCAATGGACTATGCTATCTCCCTGTAAAATCTTTAGTTGTGCATGTAGCACTGAGGAAAAGAATGAAGGTATTTTATTCCCAGTGAAAGCTAGCAAGGCCAAGCCCCATGCAATCAGCTCTCCTTGTCCTCCGCTCCCACACGCATGATTCAACCAACTAGGGATGGAAAATGTTTTGTATTTTTAATACTGCAACAGCACTGAACACGTAGAGACTTTTTCCTGCCATAATCTTCTAAACGATGCGGTACAGCTGTTTACGTAGCACTTACATTTTATTGGCTACCGTGAAGTCCTCCTAAGGTGACTGCAGATGGGAGGGGTGCCGAGGTCACAATGCGCATGCTCAGCCGCTGTACAGATGGGAGCTGCGCACCTGTGGGTGTTGGTATTGGAGAGGGTGCTGGAAACCATCCCTCCGCACAGCAAGGGCCAGTGTTAGTTGATTTAAGACAGAAAGAGGGAAAGCGAAAGCAGGGTGAGAAGGAGAGGCACTGGCTTGCAATAGGAAAGACACGTACGCAAACTCAGAATCATGCTGAGAAAAGAGCAGCAATTGGAGCCAAGAACCACTTGCGTAGGTAAGAAGCTGGACACAGGAAAGTTCTGCAAAATGAACCACAAGTCGGAAGACAACTGACAATATGAGACTTTGCTGTACTATCTTTGTATTCCTTTCATGGACAAAAAACAACAGCCAAAGGAGGCTGATTATCCAATGCCCACTTAAAATATCAAAATTGGTAACTGTTAGGAGTCAGGGAAGAAGTCTTCATGAGCCTCAACCCGGAGCAGAATTACTGCTGGAGCCCACTTCAGATCAGCTCCAGGGGTCCTCATAATTGTTGAAACCGGTGACTGCAGCCTCCCAGCTCCTTTCCATACAGTGTACACACGGCACATGGAGGGAGGACATGCGTCTAGCAGCCTGCTCTTCGGAGGGTATAGGTCAGTAGAACACACGATGCCAAGTACAGACGTGGTGTTTTGACCCAGGTGTGTGGACATGTGTGGGCATGCTTCAGTCAGCTCAGGGGACTGGTTCAGGACCCTAAAGTTACCACATGTGCATATGCCCTGCCCTTATATGAAATGGCACAGAAACTGCGCACAACTTGTGTACATCCTTCCTCACAATACCCAGTGCAATGGAAGTGCTATGAAAGTATTTGATGTATTTTATTGTTTATAGAGTAATGACAAGAAAAATTTCGTAAGTGTTCAGTAAAGACTCAGCCACACAGGCTCAACTATACAATGTATGAACCAATATATGAAGGAGACTAGGTGAAGAACTCTGTCACAGCAGATCTGGAGACACCAAGGACCTGTGAAGAGAGAGGAGGCCACAGCAGGTTCCACCAGTGCATCACTTCATTGTGTGGACTTGGCACAGTGTTAGTGTACAGCAAACGCAAGTTCTGCTTCCTTGGAAGTTCCTGGACGTGTTCACAGGTGTATGATCTGCAGACAGCTGAATCTGCCGCTGTGGAACCCACAGACAGAGAAGCCCAACTGT